CTCTCACTCTCTCTCTCTCTCTCTCTCTCTTTCTTTGTCCTTCTCCCTCTGTCCCCCTCTCCCTCCCTCTTTCTCTCCCATCCTCCCCCCTATCTCACGCCTCACGCTCGTGTCTCTAACGTTCTTCCTCTGCATCGCAGGTTATGGAGCCGGCCTTGGTTCATCGTTCGGCGCCGGTACGGGTGCGTTTGGCTCCACCCTAGGCGGCATCGGCGGCGGCGTCGCAGGATTGTCGGGGTGAGTCACACATCAGAGTGAGTCACACATCGGAGTGAGGCCATCCTTAAAAAATTCTATGTTTGCTGTCCCCCGACCCATGATTTTTTTAGTGGGTAGGTAGGTAGGTCTTTTTTTTGTGAGGCATAATAGTTATTTTAAGTCTGTCCTCATGTTTGCCACACATGCTTTGTGTTTCAGTCTTAATTATTGGAATGTAAAAAATCGAACCCAAAATGTCAAAAAAAACTTTTGGGTCGCGGCTATTCTCGTGGGTCGGTCGGAGGACAGCAAACATATAATTTTTTAAGGATGGCCTGAGTCACACATCGGAGTGAGTCACAGTGCGGCGTATTTGTAGATGTATGCAGTCGTCTTTATATCGAGAAGAATTGTTGGGAAATCGATGTTAAAATCTGTTCGTCAGACTGCGCTGAATTCCACGTGCATGTGTGCGTTCGTGCGTGCGTTCTGCGTCCCTGCGTGCGTGCGTGCGTGCGTTCGTGCGTGCGTTCTGCGTGCGTGCGTGCGTGCCCATGCATGTGTCTGTGTACTGAGTTCTGCCTTCGTTGTTTCTGCAGGCAGCAGGCAGGGGGCGCTGATCAGCAGGCGCAGCTACAGCTTCTCGCGCTCGCCGCCTCGCCATACGGAGACTCGCCGCTCTTCAGGAACATCGTGCAGGTAAACGTCAAGGTCGCCGCAAAGGTCGAGGTTAAGGTCGTGATCAAGATCGTGTTCGAGGTCACAGTTACTCATTCTCATTGACATATTGAAATTTGTGAACTGGGGCTGTGGGGTTATCATCTTGGTCCCCCGATGGGACATAAGGCCGTAATTTGTGAACTGCGCGAGTTTTTACTCACTGACTGTTTTCGTTCTTTATCGATTCGGCTGCGTTTTTTCCGTAGTTTTAATTCTGCAAAATTTGGATTAATTTTTTATGTGCCGGCTTAATCCTTCACGTCTTTGTCTCGATGCCTCATGTTGTTGTCTCACGTCTTTCTCAGTTCCTCGCACTGTCTCACGTATTTGTCTCGATGCCTCACACCATCTCACATCGATGTCTCGATCCCTCACACCATCTCACATCGATGTCTCGATCCCTCACACCATCTCACATCGATGTCTCGATCCCTCACATTTCCAATCGTCAGCATCGATGGCTCTCGATGCCTCACACCATTCTCACATCGATGGGCTCGATCCTCACACCATCTCACATGCAATGTTCTTCGATCCTCACACGCATCTTACATTGAATGTCTCTGATCCCTCACACCATCTCACATTGAATGTCTCGTGCCTTCATAGAATCACTGCCATCCACATCGATGTCTGACGATGGCCGTTCACACCAATCGCACATCCGATGCCATCGATCCTCACACCATCTTCAGCATCGATGCGCTCGATGCCCACACTCATCTCACATCGCATGGCCTCGATCCCTGCACACCATCTCACATCAATGTTCTCGATCCTGCACACCAATTTCTTAGCATATGATGTCTCGATCCCCTCACACCATCTCACATTGATGTCTGCGATCTCTCACACGGCATCCCACCATCGACTGTCTCGATGCCCTCACACGCATCACTACATCGATTTTCCTCGATCCCTTCGCACATCCGATCGCACATTCGATGTCCTCGATCTCCTCACACCAATCGCATCATCGATGTCTCGATCCCATCAACCATCGGCACATACGATTGTCTCGATGCCTGCATGCAGCATCCACATCATGTCTCGATTCCTCAGCACCATCGCCCACATGATGTCTACGATCCCTCACACCATCCGTCTCACATCAGTCTCAATTCCTCACGTATTTGTCTCGTCGCCTCGCAGGATCAGAGTAAGCGCGAGGACATGCTAAAGCCGACGAACCCGGCAGCACAGAGGGCGCTGGGGAGCTCGACGCACTACAAGCTGTCGCCGCGGCCGACCGCAAAGATCAAGCCGAAGCTGCTGACGGCAGACGGACGGGTGAGTCACCGTCGCCGTTGACGACTCGTGCGCAGAATCTCGCGAAGGGCTTTGTTGTTTTAAAGTCGCGAGGGTTGGGTATCGGGGCAGGTGGAGTTTGTGTGAAGAACATACTTTCGTGATTTTTCTGAGAGGTAAGACTGTAAGAGGTGGGTGTTTGGGCTGGTGGGTGATCGATTTCGAGAAGGGAGCAAGGGATAGATGGATGGGTGGACGATTGGATAGATTAGCGACTAGAATCGATGGGTGTTGTAGCGGTAAATTGCCGAGCAGTTAGTTGCGATGGAGGGTGTTTGGTTAGAAGGCGGAACGTTTGGTGTTCGTGTTTCCAAAGCCGAGTATGTCAGTGTCATGCGGGCTGCTGTCTCACTGTCACCCACGTTGTTGTTGCTCCCTTGTGTGCCCAGCATTCACGCCACTAGAGTGATTAGTATTGATGTCACGATCATCGATTATACTCGATCATCGGTTGAAGCAGTGGCTCGTACCAAGCGCTTGGTTATCAAAATCCATATGCGATTTTAATAAAAAAAAAAAACAAGAAAAATTTGAACAAGAAAACTTGAAAAGTGATGAGAATCAGTACATGTAATTATACTACATCTAGTAGTAACAGTGCAAAACAAACAGTAAATGCAGGCTAAACAAGCACATACATGCACAACGTACATGTCACACGACGCATGCATACGCACACGCAGGCTGAGGCATTCAACACCTCCGAGTAAACCGTTGTTA